AAAAAAAAAAAAAAAAAAAAAAAAAAAAACAAAACAAAAAAAAGAAAAAAAAAAATAAAAAGGAGGTGGGGGGGGGGGGGCGGAACCCAGAAAGAAAAACAAAACAAAAAAATGTTTCAGAAGTTTATATACATGCAGCTCAAGTCTTAAACAGTGAATTAAAACTTCAACTATACAGAATGATATTGATCGGAGATTCCCCAGTGTCCATCAAAGGTAAAATTCTTACATAGAACATAGAAGTTGTGCATATTTTTTCTCCAGGCTTCCATTTGAGGTATGCTAGACTGTTTCCACCAGACTAAAATAATCTTATTAGTGGCTGTTCACACATCATGATAAATCCAAAGTTCTTCATACTTCACTCGATTCCAAATGTTCAGTATACATGTAATTTAACCTCACATAAGCATCTTTAGCCCTTATTTATTTTTCCAGCACCTTATTTACAACCTTATTAAAAATAAACCAAAATAGCATCAGCATTGGGGGTGCCCCAAATCGGTGTCAGTTTCCCAACATGCAGAAATGGAAACCCATCCCACCGAATACATCTTCTGGGCTGTTCAACAGACAGAAAAAAATAATATTTTGTTGAATTAGTCACAGGTTAAGAACATGCAGTATTAATTTAACATTTCCAAAATTCTCAACCCTTGATTTATTAAAATAGGTTTCCTGTAATTATCTTAACACAACTTTTGAAGTATTGATTAAAAACATGACTGTAGGTTTAGGAACTCCCAACTGTTTTCGCTAACATTATTAATAATGTAGGAGTTTCCGATGCAGCAAATGCATCGGGCCCAAATAACAAAATCAGATAGTGTTTTAACTGAATATGTTTTTTGCCTGTGAACACCAAAAGGATCTTCTGGGTTGGATCGTCCCAAACTGCCAGTTTCTGATGAGAATTAGGATCAAATCTGGACCCCTTTCCAAGAATGTTCTATATGTGTCTTGCAGTTTTGAATCTGAGGATAACACCCCCAAAATAGCTAAAATATGAACCAGGTCTTTCCCAAGATCTTAAAGGGGTAATTCTATGGATTTTCCTGCCATGTTTTATATTTTATGATATTATTCTAAGATGCCTTGAGTTCAGAAAGCTGGGATAAAATAATAAAATAAAATGTTCTCCAAATAATCAGGAAACTGATCAAACACTTTTTTAAAATGTCATTTTAACTGAAATGCATATAAATAATGAAGATGGGAAGCACTCTCTCAAAAGAGGTGATCTTCTTTCAACCTTTTCTTTGTATGCAAAGCAGTAGAAGATAGCATTTGGGGTGACACTGTATATAATTATTTCATTCTGAACTAAGGTTTCGGGAGTGATAGCTGCTAAAGGCATTAGGATTTTCTTGCAATTTTTAAAATTTTCTTTTATAATTATTGTATTGTATACTGGCCTTTTATTATGTTTGGTCTTGGATTGTAAAGAAACGTTGATTGGGGTAATATACAAATAAATGTGGATGTAATTGTTTTATTCAAATCATCTGACTAATTGATTTCGTTAACTGAGTGGTGGGATTGCTATTTTTTGAGACACTATTTTTGGAGGGGAGGAGATGGTGGCAACTGTGATACCTTCTCCAACACCTGCATTGATTTATTCATTTGCCAGGTTTGTACTGCCAACCCTACCATTTAGATTTTTCTGGGAAATCTAAATGGGTGGCTACTGTGGGTATGCAGAACATTTTAAATCAAAGAGTAACTTCCTTATGTTGAGTGTAAGAATGCTGTTTCAAGTGCAAAATGAGCTGCTTAAGACATGTGGGTGGAATTTTGAGCTCAAAGCAAAGTTGTTGGAACCTTCAGGATGATCAAGAGAAGCAACTTCATGTTTTGAGAAATTATATTGTGCTAAAACATTGCAGGCATAAAGATGTTTTGAATTCAAGACATTCTGATGTCTTTCACTCCCTACTGGCTACCAACCCAATGTGTCCTCCCTCTTCAAAAGAAAGGCCAAAAGTATTCCCATTTCACAATGCCCAGGCCAGAGAAATGGGACAATGAGGAATATGCCACCCATGGCCAGTGTACCAAATGAACAAAACTATTGACCTTTTGGAGACAAGGGGTGCAAGGTCAGGAGGTAGGCAAGGAGAGGGAAGCCCATCTTCATATTTGTTTTCTCCTCCTTTCCAAGATTTATGATGGCAACAACAACTCGGCTCGTCTGCTGGGCTCCTTCAGCCGCGCGGAGATGTTGGGTCTTAATGTCAACAGCACGTCCAGCACCATGTGGCTTGAATTCATCACGGATGGAAATGGCACGAATCAAGGTTTTGAACTGCAGTTTTCTAGTAAGTGTGGAGGCTGCCAACCCTGCAACTGGAGAATCGTAGCACCTTAAGTGTCAGGGCAGTGATAGAATTTACCTACTGCTCCTGCGGAGAAGCTGTATTTGGAACTGAACATTCAAGGAAAAATTAGTTTGCCAAGTAAGGGTACCAAGATGGAGGCCAAGCTAATGCCAGATCTTTTGATGAGACTTTATTTTTACACCTAAAAATTCAAAAGGAAACTATATCTGCTCTGCATAAGAGCACATTTTTAAAATTCTTGCTTCATTACAAGTTGTCTGTGCAAATGTTATTGTGTTGATCTTCAGACACATACTTCCCCATCTTTCTGTTTCTGTTGTTCTACTCGTATCTGTTTATTAAGCCCTCTTTTGAAAAATTGCACATCGCCACCTCCAATGAATTAGACTACACAAGAAAAAGTCTTCAATAAATCTGTTTCCAACCCATCCATCAGGCTGATCCATAAGGTTTAGAATCAGCAAATGACAAACCTGTTTTGATTCTGTTCCTTGCTCTTTTGCAGCATTTTTCTCCAGCTTTTTACATACCTCCACTTCCCTTGTGGGAATAGAAGCAGTGTCTGTTCCATTAGATGCTTCATCTTAGTCCTGGCATTTTAGACATACTAGGGAATTGAATGTTTTGGATGTCCTTCCTCACAGTATATCCTGGATGTCTCTACAAGGAGTTTCATCAGCCATGGACAGGTTCTGCTCAAGCAACAGCTGAGACATGACTAGGTTTCCTTTCTCACCAACTGCTTTTTTCTTGATTTCAGGTTTTGAGTTGATCAAGTGTGAGAACCCTGGTATCCCACAGTTTGGCTATAAAGTCCACGATGAGGGACACTTTGCAGGAAGCTCTGTCTCTTTCAATTGTGATCCTGGCTACACGTTACGAGGAAGCCGGGTGCTTGCTTGCTTGACTGGAGAGCGCCGAGCCTGGGACCAGCCTCTCCCCACCTGCGTAGGTATGACTTTAGGAACACACACCCTCTTGTGTGATAGCCAGATCACTCCCCAGACACTTGGCATGACCGCCAAGGGGATGATGGACCAGTTGATTTAGTTGTGCAATTTTATGTCCCAGAGCCACCTGCAGTTCATGCAATCTTCAGGAAAATCATTGAAAAGTTCTTACTAAATTGTAACTTTAAAGGGGTAGAACTCTTAAATAAATAAATGCATAGATGGGGAGTTATTTTATTTTATATATTATAATGAGAGAGAGAGAGAGAGAGAGAGAGAGAGGGAGGGAGAGAGAGAGAGAGAGAGAGAGAGAGAGGGAGGGAGAGAGAGAGAGAGAGAGAGAGAGAGAAATGTCAATGTAAACAAGAAGAAACAAAATTCAGTTTTCCTTCTGTCCTTCTGGTCCTGTCCACTACCCTTTTGACATGCAAGTCAAAAGTCAAATGTACCGCCATCTTCCAAGAATGAGTTCTGAGTCCATAGTTTAGGCAAAGGTGGTCAATAGATGCACAACTTTTTCTGAGCTATATGGTGTCCTGAATGTGCAGGATCCACGCTCCAGATACTATATCTAATATAGTATCAAATGTCTTGAGATATCCTGTATCTCAAGACATTTGATCCTGATTTCTTTCCTTGGTCACTAAAGTGGGACATCTGTTTCCAGCTCCCCCCCCCCCCCGGTTCGTAAGTGCCAGAACACCTTCGTCAAGCCTAAATTTAATACAGTTCTAATGTAGCCTCAATCTGAAGGCTGCTTTGGACGAATTAGTGGCCCAGAGTACCACCTTTAAAAATGGGTCATGATCAATGCCAGGATTGCTACAGATTTACCTACTAATCTTTTACCCAGTCCAATTTTAAATGCCCACAATAGCTTTAATTGCTACTATTTCCTTTTCAGGATTCATACTACTGCTTTTCCAATAACCTTCAGGTTAATGAGGTGATCAATAGAGATGCAGTCTGTTTGTCTCTTTTAGTACACATTGAGGGCACAAATCAAGCCTTCCTTTTGTGGCTATATCATGTTCCCACCATTCGGCAATGATTGAGCATCAAGAAATGTCTTCTTGAGTTCTGAGGTTTGCTTTCAGAATTTTGCCCTGGAGAGGATTTTCAACCTCCTGAATAGGTGATGTTTGGTTTGAGCCAGAACTGTTAGCAGAACTTTTCATACCTATTTAGAAGGTGCAAGATCTTTCAGCACACCCCAACTGAGTAGAGCTGAAGGGACAATTTTGAAGAAACGGGTTTTCCGAAGTTTCCAAGGTTGTCGTCTTCTAAAGAAAAAAAAAGACAATTTCCTCCAAAGATCCTCCACCATTTTTTGGGGGGTGGGTGGGGTGTGTGTGGAGTAAACGGTGACTACCACGCACTGCGCCTTAAGAGCACATTTTCGTCAGCATTGTGGGAAATGCAACGTGATAGGTTGCCAGGTCATTTGCTGTTTGTACCCTTCGCAGCAGCAGCTGGGAAAAAAAAGAAGGTATATTACTGTCATTGTTATTAATGGGCCTCCCCAACCAAGAAACTTTTGGAAATCTCTTGAACAAGTTTAATGAAATTTCCTTTGCCCACAAATAATGTAGATAATGTTTGTTTAGTTTTCCGGTTATTGATTTTGAGCCAAAAAGGCAGATGACTTATCTGCTGCTTTCTCTCTTCCCAAATCAAGGTCTGGGTTCAAAAATGCCTGTAAAAAGTGTATGTGCAGCAAATGGGTTTAGAAAAGGCGATTAGGAAAGAAAACTGGTTTATATCTATATCTTCTAAAAAGAAAGGATAATGGGAAAATCAGACAAAGTAGAGTTAAAGTGACTATATATCCTTTATTATAAAAGGCAGTCCTTTATTTCAGAAAGCGAATTTTTATTAGAATATGCATTCTTGTAAAGTTTTTCTTGGTTTTGCGCTTGAATTTTCCTTTGCAAACAAAGTTATAAACAATTAATTTTTTTTTTAATCCTTTCAGATTTGCCCCCTTTTCAGGTTTGTCCTTTATTTTTTCCAAGAAAATATGGTCACTGTAGAACAGGGTTCCTCAACCTCAGCAACTTTAAGATGAC